ACCTGGACTGCTGTTTCCCTGCTTTGTCTATGTTTGCTTTATGGGTTGAATTAAAGATGGAGATGGGCCTCCCTGCCACATTCTTCCCTCTGCTACTCTCCTCCTCCTTTTGTGGACCCACCTGGTTGCTGTATCTACAGCTGTAAACTGTGAAGATTTGCCTACCACCTCCCTATGTCCTTCCTCTACACTTGCTCAAAAGTGGTGATGTGGCCTGGGCGCATGTCCACATGATCAACAATTTGGAGCACTGAGGAAGCATGCACCTGGTTGGGCTTTAGATTTTACATGGGAAGAGAGTTATTAGAATAGTGCATTGTCTCCTGAACTCTGAATACACACCCTCACCCACACACACTTTCATATAATGCCTCATTTATCTTTTCTCATGCCTGCAAATACCTTTTTCTCATCTATACATCTTTACTTAGCTGCACAATAGGAATTACTGCTGTCAACTGATTAAGGATCTCTTTGCTAATTAGGAAGCTTACTTTTAACTGATCATGAATTTATTAAATTACATTGTTTAGCTACTACAATGCCATCATATTTTCTGAGATACCTGAATGAAGTGACAATTTCACTTAAATGTGAGATTTTTAAGAACAATGAAATACTAGGTCTTATTGCTTAGGGCAGAGGTTACATATTATTTTCCAAAAGCCAACATTCAACCTTTCAAGAGTCCCTTACATAGATGAGAGCTTAATTTGGGGATAAACTTGTGCCTTTCATATGCTTTGGACTACAGCTTCCATAACCTCAACCAGAACTGTCCATGGTAAGGGATTATGGAAGTTGTAGACCAAAACATCTGGAGGCTATCAGGTTGCCTAGACCTGGTTCAAATGCTGATTAGTCTTACAGAGTAAGCGAATAGTGCTGTGCTTCAGCCATGATTTAAACACAGTTGCTTGCAGCCTCTCCCAATGGCAGGTATACTGAGAGTATTTTCACAGGGCCTGCTGGCTGAGATGCACGTCTCTGGCTTACAAACAAAGCACAGTAAAGGACTATTCAGTCTCGTGTCTTTCTCAGCATGTGGCAGCTTATCGTTTTCAGCCAGCCAAAGCTGATTTCTAGCCACGCTAGTACAAGCAGAGGTGTTAATATGTATGCTGACAGCAACCAGAGAACACGAAGTAAAAGTGAGAACTGACCTTTATGTCAGTTATCAGAAGCATCTTTAAATGCTTTAATAAATCTTTAATAAATCCAAGGGAGAAAGATTAGAGGTTCCACAGCTGACTTTGGACATTGAGCTATGGACATGTGCAGTTGCAGTCTGGAACCTTGCAACATTCTTGACGGTGTGTGCAATTGTATGTGCGTACGGATCCGTTCACAGAGTAGGGGATCCCACACCATCCTTCTAGCTGCGTTTATTGCTCCTGAATTTGCCATCTGAAGATGTCTAGTGTCAAGGCAGGGGGGATGTACAACCCACTGATGTGTAAACATTCAGAGCAATGTCTGATCTTTCTTGTATGCTAGCAAGACCCACTGCTAGCACAGCAGGAGCTAGTGGTGCTAACAGCAGCAAGAAATAATTGGAACTGTTCATTTCCAAAGCGGGGCAAGTCAATGGAGCTTGCAGAAAGGAGCTTCACTGACCTGTCCTGGGCCAGAAATAAACAGGACCATTTGTTTCAGAGGTTGCTTTTGGAACCAGCACTTTCTACTGTCCAAGTGTTGGGCCCTTCTTGTGCAACACACTGAGTAGAGCTCAACACTAATACTACATACCGCCTTTAATCTGGAATTCATCATTTTGCTCAACCATTTCTTGAACTTAGCCAGTGTGAGAGTGAGAGTCCTTCCTCACTCTCCCATTGTCTGCTTTCTTGACTTCCAGAAGTGCTTGTATTTACATGGTTTCTGCTGAGCCTTTCACAGCAACAAAGGCTGGTTTTGGACGTCAACCTTCCTCACATCTCAGAACTACCTATTTCTTCCTGAGACATCACTGCTAAGCTACAACATAGTGACACTTTCTGTTTGAATATAATCATAGTCATTTCATGCTGGATTTTTTTGACATTACAAGCAAATGCCATCCATCAGCTGTGGAAGAGGCTGCATAGGTGTCTGGTAGTGTCTGCCTTGTGACTTCCAAAGCCAAACCTAGCTGATACCAGTTTTAATTTTCTTAAACCTTAATTGTATGGAGCATAGCTATCTTTAAATAATGAATGATAGAAAGCCCCAAATCAATGTTCTGAAAGAATATGCGTGCAATGAAGAAAGGATAATTAAAACCATATTTCTCCTCAAAAGTTTTGCTGTGTTGTTCTGCATCTTCTGAGGCAAAATGCCTCTGCAGAGGTTGATTGAATTGTAAAATATCACATGTGCTAGATTGACCATGCAGCCTAATGTAAGCACGATAAAGTCCATCCAGTGTTGCATTTTCAACAGCCACATTTTTAGGATGCTGGCTAAAAACACATGCTTACATTAAGACTATAAGAATTACTTCGCAGCATCAGCCCATAGGGCCACCTAGTAGTAAATTCTTTCTTTCCTAAAAACTAGCAAAATAACCAAAATTTTACATCTTGTGAACATGGAGTTCTCATTTTTAACTAGGGTGACTAATAATGATTGACACAGCCATCCTCCATGAATTTGACTAAGTTTTGGTAAATGCCAGTTCAGGTGCAATCCTGTATATCTTTAGAGTGAACATCACATACACCTCCAAGGATCCATATTGTAAATCGTGTGTCCAACACTTGTTGCTAAATGCAGTGAATTTGTCTGAATGGCGACACTATGAATCAGTGCCCTACAAAATGTCTTGTCCTTGTCAGCCCTGCTCAGCTCTTGTAATTCAAGGCTGCAACTTCCTTTATGGAATTGATCTGTCTCATAGTTGGTTGTCTTCTTCTTCTGCCTTTGACTCTCCTTAGCATCATTGTCTTCCCCAGTGAATCTTGACTGTCGTGATGTACCTGAAGTACAACTTCATTTTTGTTATATTTGCTTCCAGGAAAAGTTCTGGCTTGATTTGATAAAGGTCCCACAAGTTCAGCTTTCTGTTGGCCCATATTATTTCCAAAGCCAGTATCATGTTTTGGACTCGGGAGTTTTCTTCTTGTTCACTTTCTTCAATGTCTAGCTTTCACATCCACACATACTTGTAACAGTATGCCAGAGAATGCCCCTTCTCTGTCCCACCATTGCTGGATGTCACCTGCCCAGAGACTAGACCCACATTTAGCACCGCAACTCATCCAGGCACCAAAGAAAGTTTATCAAAGCATTAAGAAGGGGAAAGGGGCGTCGGATACAGAAAGAAGGAGAAAGGGCAGGTAGATAGCAGTAAAATTATACAGTGTTAGCAGAGTACAACATCTTAGCTCCGCACAGGCAAATTCCTTGTTGCACCATAGAGACAGAATAAAACTAGCCCTAAGCTACGCTTTCCCTAGAGCAAGTCCTCCTACAATGAAGTTTGCTGCACTTGCTCAGGGAGTGAAACTGCACACCAGATCAAAACCCAGTAAGAGACAAAAGATTCTCTCTAGCCAGGAGTCTTTTAACCCCATTTCCTGGCAGGAGGAATGATGCTAGCCCGCCAGTCCAAGAGGCTACAACTTTCGCACTGTTACTGTCCAAGGCCAACAATTCCCAGTCAAGTGCCCTTGAGCTCATCTTCAGCAGTAACCTGGAAGCATAAATTACTGCCCTTCCAAGTCTCAGTCTTCTTCCGATTTCTCGGCTGCAGCCCCCACTTGAATTGATGACTGAGCCAAGCTATGCCAAATCTCTCACAATTTCAGTTTCTTAATTGTTGTCATTAAAGTTGTATAATTCGTCTATAATCATGATTTTTGTTTTCTTCATGTGCAGCTGCAGTCCTGCTTCTGCCCTTTCTTCTTTCCTTTCATCAGAGGTCTTGCCAGTTCATTGTTGCTGCAAATAAGGTTAAATTATTAATATATCTTCTGCCAATTTTCACTCCTCCTTCCCATAATCCTCATCTCAGTCCAATGATAACTTGTGGGGGGTTGGCAAAATTCACGGACAATAAGGCTTTCCATGGTTACTGTACACCACTTCCGGTTTAGGCAGTGTCTGTGTATAGCAGTTGCCTCTGTGTGAAATAGAGCTGATCCAGCCTGGCTCTTCTTATGTCCTTTCATAGTGCCGTTTTTGTTTCTTGGACATGGACATGGATGATTCACTTTGCAGTTCATTCTGTCATCTTGTGCTATAAATGCCCCCATGTGTCTGTTTTAACAAAAATCAGAATAATAGCATTGCATGAAATATATTGGAGAAGGCAACTCACGCTTATCTTAATAGTCTGTATCTGTTGTACACTCCATTTACTGCTAGAGTTGATTAACTCTCACAGGGAAGTTAATGGCAAAAAGGTAATAGTAAATTGCAGCTATATTTAGAAGTGGAGATAAGCAATCAAAGAAAAGCCATCATCATTATTATTCATTGTCGCTTAAGTGCTGTAAAGGTGAGTTTGTTCACAGGCTTTAAATAAGGACTCTGTTGATTTTCTAGTAAGGAACTGATAATCACTCATTCAAACAATTGTCTGTCTCCAGAAGTTTTGAAAAATAGTAGTGATTAGTTTTTAATTAAGATATTGGAGAGGGAATTGTTTTGTAGAATAGAGCTTTGCTTGGTTCTCATACAAAACTCTGTATTGTGAAGTAGAGGTTCTCAGTTTTTTAGAGTCAGGTCCCATGCACTGAGTTCAACCCCTGGCCGATGCATAGACCGCGTTACTTTTTCCACTGCACTGGCATACATCATAACACCTTTTCCATTAATTTATGAATTTTTGTAGGACTTTTCATTAAAAAATAAGAGTACAGCCACTAGTTTGTATTTGGCTCATAGATTCAACACACAGACACACAAGCTCATGCCACACGGGGATCTCTCTGACAGTAGCAGCTCGTTACACAAAAGAACATTTTTCTTGGCTTGCTAAATGACTGTTTTAATGTTCTGCCTTCCCTTCCCCACAGGGTGAATGTTCCCAGAAGTGCCATGACATCTTTGTGCTAGAGACCGTCTGTGTGGCGTGGTTTTCCTTTGAGTTCCTCTTGCGCTCGATTCAGGCAGAGAGCAAGTGCGCCTTCTTGAAGACACCACTCAACATTATAGACATCTTGGCCATCTTGCCTTTCTACATCTCTTTGATTGTAGATGTGGCCTCTACCAAAAACAGCAGCAAGCCTGGAGGCAGTAGTAGTGGAGTCGGAAACAAGTATCTAGAGAGAGTGGGTCTGGTCCTCCGCACCTTGCGCGCCCTTCGTATCCTGTATGTCATGCGATTGGCCCGGCACTCGCTGGGGCTGCAGACCCTGGGGCTCACTGTGCGGCGCTGCACGCGGGAATTTGGACTCCTCCTCCTCTTCCTTTGTGTCGCTATGGCACTCTTCTCCCCACTGGTTTACCTGGCAGAGAGTGAAATGGGAGCGAAGCAGGAATTCACTAGTGTTCCCAGCAGTTACTGGTGGGCTGTCATATCCATGACAACTGTTGGCTATGGCGACATGGTACCCCGTAGCATTCCAGGACAGGTGGTAGCCCTGAGCAGTATCTTGAGTGGCATTTTGCTTATGGCTTTCCCCGTCACTTCCATCTTCCACACTTTTTCCCGTTCTTATATAGAGCTTAAAGAAGAACAGCAGCGAGCTTCTAGCAGACAGTTTCATCAAGTGGAAGAAAGCAATAACAATCCAAATGATGACAGTTCTCAGGAAGAAGAGTCAACCCATCCAGGTGGGACTGATGGAGAGGTGATTTGCACTGAGACTCAACAGGGGATTGAGAATTGCTGATCCAAAGCAAACTATAGTCCTGCAGGAACCATATAGGAAAAATGGGCAAGTGGATATTACATTACCTGAAGTAACCACTGATCCACCACGATCATGTTACTAAGCCACACACAGTGAAGGAGAAAGACTGCCTATTGAGCAATGACTTAAGTGACCAATTATGTTGCTTAAAATAATACTGAGGACAATTCAACTTCAGCATCCTTACAGTGCAAGAGACTTTTCAGCACCAAAAATGTTGCTGTATGATTTTAAAAGAACAGCTGTTTAAGACAGGTTTTCACTGTGCATGTGGGGAGCAACAGCATTGCTAAAATAGGGTTTTTTTAAAGGAAGTGCACCTAAATTCAGGGTGAAGCACATGTGCCATTGACTAGACAAAGGACTGGAGCAAAGGAATAGGTTTCACCAAACCCTGAACCACTGATGGATTTGAGTTGTTGCATGTCCTCATGGAAGTTGGACAGAAAGGATAGATGGATTTGTTCATATTGGGACAAAGGGCCTTTCCCGGCTAACTGGCGAACTTATCCCTAGTTTACCTCTCTGTTTCAGTTTTTCCTTCAGAAAAAAAAAATCAATAACCACAATTTTGGCTGCCTGCTGACAGATCAGATGTGTGCTTCAGCTCTTTATGCATTATTTAGTGAACATGCAGATTTACCACAGTAAGCTTTTGCATCCTAGCTTGGATGTCAGACAGCTTTGCTCAGACTTGAATGTACATTGTTTTAAGTGACATTATTATGATTATGATTTCAGTACATTGGGTACCTTGCTGCACCCCGTTGGCTGTAAGAGCCATAATTTTTTAACTTAAGAAGCATAACTAAAGGTCAGTGGCTGGCTGGAAAGGGGTCAGCAGCCTCTTCCTCTGGAACCAAAAGGCATAGTTGGCCTTTTCCTTTGCCCCAGCAAACAGGCTAGCTGGTGAGATGGGAACATTTCTGCTGCTTCTCCCCAGAAAGGGAAAACACACATTCCACATAATGTGGCAAGAATAGTATACACCAGTATTTAGGTATAACTTGTATTCACTTACTCTGGAGCAGAAAGTGCCACCTTCAGCCATTGTGAAGATGCACAAAGAAAAGGAAGCGGAGGTTATTTTCACTTCCTGCTTTTCCTCATTGTTACACATCCAAAGCTTCGCTTAAGGTGTAGAAAACAGCAGCCAAACAAAGATGTGCTTCACTGGGTGTGGGAGAATCATTCATAGAAGATAAAACGAGCAACATGCTTCTCTCCAACTCGGCAGGTTTCATTACATCGGGAAGCGGAAACTGGATTCTTCATGGCTGATCTATGAAAGTGTCTGGCCCAGAACAGTAAGAGCAGCAGGGAAAGCAGCAAGGGAAGAGGAACCACCGTAGTGCAACATGTTTCATTGACTCTTCCCCTCTACAGTAAGATAGGGACTTTCCACAGCAATCGGCCACAGTAAACATCACCTCTCCTACCCTAGACAAGCAAGAGCTTCAGATCTGAGCAAAAATTAAGAGCACCACTAGCCTGGGGGAGGCCAGGGAATAGGTTTTAGCAGTAGATGAAAAAGATAGTGACCGTGATGTCCGTTTTCTCTTTAGCTATGTAGATGTCTGGTCATCCAGATTATATGTGGAAAGAACTACTTCTAGAACATATTGAGGACAGTGGGAAGCTTCTATTAAATTCAATTTTTTGGCTGACAAAATAGTTACATGTAACAAAAAATTAGATTTGCTTCTGTCCTTAATAAAGAACAGTTGATTATTTTAAACAAAGCTTCTGATTCCTATTTTCTGTTTCTCCTTGTTACTTGTACTAAAATATTTCAAAATAAAACATGGGAAATAAAATTACCTTCAGACACACAATCTAAATCTTGTTTTACTTATTGAAGCCATTTTATATCACATAAAAACTGCATTCCCTATTTCTCGTTAGGTCTAACTGAACTCCAGCTTTTTCATTTAATGTGCAGGCCAGTTTTATATATCCCAAGTTGGCCTGCATAGAAAATCACTCTTGATAGTTTTAGAAAAAGAAATGTAATGCTTCTATTGCAATTTAGAATTTAAGCACAATATTCTTACACAAGACCTGGTCTGCACAATCACTGCAGCCCATTGTAGTGTATTAGCTATGTTGTGTGTCCAACAAACCACTCTGCAGCAAGCCCTGGGTTCTGGGTGGCTTATTAACCAGCCTGCAAGCCATCCTCACCTGATTCAGATGTCAAAAGCTGTGTTAGGTAAGGATAATATGCCGATCAGCTGGCATGCAGCTGCTGCACGTGGAGTGGCTAATAAGCCACTGTGGCTTGTTAACTACCTTGTGAATATACAGACTGGGCCCATGTGAACATTCTTTTACCTTGCTAAACCAGGATTCTAACATAGGAAGAGTAGCTTCGTGGTGGAGTACACGCTTTGCATGCCAAGCCAAATCCCTGACATCTCAGGTGGGGTTAGGGAAGAAGCCTGCTTGAAATCAACTGTTAGCTTTGGTATACAGCAGCTTCTTAAGTTGCTGCGTTCCTAAGGTGGAGGGTAGAAGAAAATTCATGCTGGAGTCAAAGAAAGGTATGCGTACTGCTACCAAAGTGAAGGTGGAGAAGCAGCCCTCGCCCCACAACAGAAAATGCCACTCCTGCTAATGCAGGGATGCCTGCATGGACACCATCTTGTTTCGTGTGATTGGCCTCGGCTTACTAAAACAGTAAGGATAACACACAAGGGTGAGTGTGAACGGACAAGAATCTCATTGTGATGATCTCATCCCCACAATTAATACTTAGGATACTAGACCATGGTTGTCAGTGCTCTAAATGAGAGCTTCACTTGCCAGTAACCTACACAGGGACCCTGTTGACTCCTGCTAGCAGGAATAACTAGCAGGATCAGCATTAGGAAAGCAATGACATTATATTTGGCATCTAGCTTTAGCACCAGTGTGATTAAACAAGTGTTTCATTTTTGGTACCCTTGGACTCCTTTGGTCACTGAGGTAGTGCTGTCTGGAGCTGGTATTTCTGTTGGCGCTTCTCACTGGTTCCTGCAATTTGCAATACGCACCAGCAGTTACCTTGACCATTTGAGTAAGTGTGGGACCATTCTCCTTGGAGCTCAGTCACATATCATCATGTTGAAGCAGTAAGTGCTTGTCTTCCTCTGTTCTGGTAATGTTGAGAATGTGTGCTTCCTTCCTTCCACAAGGCTCTTGCTGTTGCAGGGATTTAATAAAATATTCAAACTTGGGAGCATAATAGCAACAGCTGCCACTTTAATCCATGCACTACTATGCCAAAGGGAGCCTCAGAGAATGGCAAGTAGCATAAACAGCACTGTCTCCATTGCATTCAGTTTTGCAGATAAAAACAAATGCTGTTTTCATGTTTTATTTCCAACAAGTGTTGGCTGGATTAAGGGGACTCATCGTTGAAAATTAAAGAAGTATAAACAGCAGGCCATGCCACTTTACAACCTTATTTTTCACTGGGCCATTTGGATCCCCAGACTACCAGCTTTCTGGAGAGCTTGCCATTATGCATAGATGTAGATTTGGCTCAGACATCAGACCATGGCATCAAGTGAATTTTCCAGAGGCTGAAAAAGGATTCTAGTCCGGTAGCTTTAAAAGATTAAACGAACCTTCACACTGCTGGATACATCCCATGGAACACAGCATAAACTCCCCTATGTTTTCATAGAGCAGTAGCTAAACCATTATATCAGAGGGGCTGGTAGAGATTTCATAAAATGACTCCCTAAACAATTTATGGCATGGAATAAATTGATTGCTCTTTCTATTCTTTGGCCCCTATTTTGAGCTAAAGACTCATGCCTAAGACCCATTGATTTCAACATGCCTTATGTATTACTTTCTCTGTTGCAATGGTCATGTTTTGAACACAATTCTAAAGACTCTATATGAATGTAAAACTAGCTGTATCATGACTGATTACAAGTTGGCATGAAGAAACGTGTAGAGAGGTCTTATGAATCTGAACCAAGATACAGATTTTGACCATCAACCAGGGTGTGGGGTCAGTCAGTCAGAGGAATCAGTGTGAATATTGGTGTTCATACAAAGCCTTGCTTAGCTATGCTTCATTAAACAATTGAAGCTTTTGGATAAAAGATTCAACTTCATCAGCAACACTTCATTCAGAAATGATTAATTATTCTGATATTCTAAGACTGAAGCCTCAATGTAAAGGAGATTATGGTACTGAGGATATAAAATGGTATTGTACCTCTCAAATATTGGTGCAGATGCAATCCAGAAGCTTGGCAATGAATAGCAACCATTATATTTTGACCTTAGAAATCTGTCAATGATCTCTGGGAAGTTCTGGTTGGTCACATTATATAAGATGCAAGATTGTAAGGACATACACACCCCAACAAACACATTCATTTCACGCTTTCCACTTGTGACACAAACTAGGATTTCTATTGACATACTAACTGAAGCCCACGAAAGGTACTTTCTTATATTTAAAAAGAGCAACCACAAATAACCTGTGCATAACTTGTTTATTTTTAATGCAACTGATAGTCAACATAGGTTTCATTGAAATAGTCATATTCAACAACGAGATGCATTTAAATTTTATGTATGTCAAACCTGTGATATATGATCACTGCCACACAAGATTTCTTTACATGTAAAACATCTTGTTAAGTATTTAAAGGAGGTGGTTCACTGACCACTGAGCTGCTCTTTAGTTTTCTCCCAGGTGTGTGGGATCTTCTTACCTGTGAGCAATTCCCCTGTGGCTGGGAGAATGTTTGCATGTATGCAGGAGTCACAGCATCTTTTCTACAGAACCAACACCATGCAAAAATGCAGTTAGGAAAAAAACCCATCCCAATGTGGTTGATGGTAAAGGTACAGCAAGTGGTATGTTTTGAAATGACCCCTGACTCTTGCCATTTGAAATTCAGGAGAGTTCACAGTTTTAAGTTCTCCAGTTTTCCATATGCCACAAATAAAAGTAACATTTTTAGACACCAGACTACTGACTTCTCTGAATGATATTTGCAGCTGTAACATGGTGCCCTGAGCTTGCTTTTTGGTTTATTGACTCAGATGTGAAGAACTTGTGCCCAGCTTCCAAGGAGGGAAATGGGGAACTACTACCAATTTTACTTTCAATAATACTTTCAATAAAGCGGAGTTGGGGATATACACAGGCTAAGATAGCACATACTAGCTTAATCCTGAATCCCTTTTCCATGGGAAGAGTGGAGGGAGGGAGACTGCCCCATACAAAAATAAAGCCTAGCATAGCAAGTTACAAGAAATCCTGTTGTACACGTAGAAATACAATCCTCATTATAGCAGCATACTAGGGAAATAGTATGATGGAGATCTATAATTTAAAAGACAAATGCCCAGATGTTCCAATGCAGCCAGGACATTTGCAAAAGGAGAGCGATTAAACATTCATATTCTGCCATGCCATATAACATCAGCTTTGTAAGGTCACTTCAGGCATAAGGGAGTGCGCATGGTAGCCAATCAATAGCAAGAAGTCTGAGGTCAACTGTAGTGCTTCACACCAAGCTCTGAATAAAGCAGCTTTCCTGAGGTTTTTGCATCCATTCCAAGTCAGGCATGGAGAGATCCACCACAAGCCCTACCCTCTCTTTTGAAGAACAGACTGATTTCCTGGGCATTCAAGCTGCCAGATTGGCACAATTCATCCTTCAAACATGAAGGGTTTCATTTGCAGAAGTGGAAGCCTAGCCAGTTCTGAGGTTTTTCAACACTTGTTGGATTAAGAATTTGGAAAGTAAATGTGCAGAAGGTAAATAATTCCTTAAAACAAAAATTCTGATAGGCTTTCGCTCTCTTGCAATAGTTAACGTTTCCTGTTTCTTCAGACAGATCATTTTTGGCACAGCCAAATGAACAAGGCAAGGAAGATGCCCAGGTTTTGTGGATCAGACATAAGAATACATAAAGTAATCTATTCTTTGGAACAATTTTAGGGAATAAAGGGAGCAATTTAACAAGCGTCTCTTCCTGATGTAAAATGCCATCCTCTTGCAGGGTGTATCTGCCAGTGCGGAATGTACGTTTCTGGATTACCATCAGTTTCTTTTAAGAGAATAGAGCAATTCCTGAAGCCCAGCAAGACTGCATGATTAGCTCATGGGGGTCGAGGCAAGTTGCTCTTGGCAACTGACCAAAGGCAAGGAGCTTCAAAAATAGAACCATCCAAGCTGTATAGGCCAAGTCTTCAGGAAGGGACGTCTGAAACTGACAAACGTATTTCACATATAGATCCTTCTTGTCTGTCATCCGTGTGGCATGTAGCTATGCATGCCTTTTCATTCTCACCATGCAGTTACTGGCTGTAGTACTTGCTAAAATGAAGCAACCTGTGAGAACTTATTGGGCTTAGAATACTGTTTAGCATCTCCAGGATTTGGCTACTACAAATATTTGTATTTGTACACAGCATTTGGCATTAAATAATACTCAGAAAAATGTCACACTTCAGTCTTCTTGTTAGAAAAGAGCCTGCCCATCACTGGGCGATAGTTCTTCCTTCTCAGAATGACTCTCCTAGGATAGCTTACTATGGGGTGGGGGAGGTGTCCGGGAGCCTACCCAGGTAGTTTCCTTTACAATTACACTGACCGTCCTCCAACAGGGTAGTGCGGCTTACGACTCACATGTTTCAAGATGTTCCACAGTGCCCATGCTGGGAAGACACAGCTAGGTGTGAGTGCTCTCTTCTCCATGGAAGAGACATACAGCACAGAGAGTCAGTTAGCCCTAAGATACGCATTGAATTTCCTTCCTTCTGGCTTCCCGGTTTCCTGCTGTTACTATCAAAAACCTTAACCGGTCCTTTTAGCAATGCCTCCATAGCAGTCCTCAACCTCCTCGTCCCCTGAATGAGTGCCATCGTTTCAGAAACAAGGGTGCTTCTGCATTCTGTTAGACTCCTTTGCTAACTTCTTTCTTACAACACCAAGGTAATGTCTGATTTGTACTTTCCACATGGTGAAAGCATCACCCACACCATAATAACCTTGTTCTATTAATTTGTCACACTGATCCTGCAGTGTGTGTGTGTGCATGTGTGTGCGCACACACACATTTATGCTTACTAAACATTTTTAGTGAATAAAATAAATTTCTTTACATCATTGCCCAACCCCTCTTCTACTCACTTCAGTCTCCCCCACCCTGCACCAAGTGCATTATTTTAAAAAGTGATTTTGCATTTCTGCTTAAAATGAATACATTACTTTCACCAGCCATATCTGAAATATAACAGATACTCCAGAAGTACTACTGATATACATATTTTATATAACTTAGGTAAAAACTTCAGATAAAATATTCTTCTTGTGACTGAACTTTTTTAAAAAATAGCATTGAAAACATTAATATCCAGCCCTTGCAGTACACTCTCACACACACATATAGAGAGAGATAAGTGGATAAGACTTCGGTACTACCATTCACCCAATAAAAACCTCACTGGGCCCCAAAGAGAAAATAAATTTCAGTGGGAGGCTACCCAGGAAAAGCAAATGCTTAAAAACAATGCCAGACAGGGTATTCATAGAGGTTTCCATGCTTGGCTCTTCTATTTCCAACCGATCAGAAACACACTAGTTACAAGGAGAAATGAAGCTGCAAGCCTGGTTCCAGACATCTCACCTAAAGTTGCCTCCACCTTGTGCTTTAAAGTGCCTTCGTACCGGCTGTGTGTGTTGCGTGTGAAACGGGCTTTTGTGGGTAGCAGCTGAAAAAGTAAACCTGTAACAGGATGGCCATGTCCACGAAGACCTGAAGAAGTCCGCAGATGGAGAACTGGAAGGGAGCCTGGTTCAGGAGGAAATACACGGTCTTGAAGGTGTCACCGCTGGTCCACATCAGCACCATCTTAACACTGAAAAAAGAAGGGGCGGGGGGAAAGGCCTTTTTAGTAGAGGAGAGGAAATATCTCTTCATTTGAAACTACAATCCTGCAGCACAGTGCCCATCCAGTTAAAGATCGGTGCTCAGGGGGATGGAGAAAATACTCATCACCAATCTTGTTAACTGGTGAGAGCCAGCATGCTGCAGTGCTTGGAGTGCTGGGCTGCAGATCTGGAAGATTCAGCTTCCTTCCCCCACTTGACTGTGAAGCCCACTGGGTGACTTTGGGCCAGTCACTCACTCTCAGCCAAGCCTTCCGCACAAGGTTGTTGACATGAGGATAAAATGGAGCTATGTAAGCCACTGTGGGTTCATCACAAGAAGGAAAAAGGCAGGATAGAAATGCAATAAAATCAATAATTAAATAAAATAATCTAATATAGAGCCTTCCCATACTAAAATGTTGAGAAATCCTTTATTTTCTCTTACACTAAGTAAATCAGCCATGGGCCTATCTAGTTCATAGAACATATAAAATGCATTTTGAAATTGGCTTAAAATGTGTGATGCTATTTGGCTGCAGACATACTACAAATTCTGTGGCACATGGAATAACAGATGAGAGAGAACGCCTGCTCAAGCCCACATGATAGAATGACCTGTTTTGGAAAATGATCCTTTAGCATGTATATGCACCTCTTTATACGTCCTTTTTGTGCAGGTGCAGATCAACCAGGAAGTCTAGCATTAGACATACATTTCCATTTCATCCAAATGGCTAGCAGTTTTGAAACACAAAGGGAAACCATGGTTAATCCAAAACTTCCAGCTGTGATCAAGGCAGGTGGCAAAGGGGCTGTATGTGCAGGCACCTTCCTCTTTCAGTTTGTTGTTCATCTTCTCCCAAGTCACCAGAATGTCACATTCTGTTCACAAAGAGATGTAACAGGTGCCCCTAACAATAGAAACAATGACATACTGAAAGGATGGGTAGCTTAATTACTTTTAAACCATCATTGTTGGTCTTAAGCAAAATATCATTCTGGCTTTTCCTTCTATTCAAGTGTGAGTGAGGATGGTCTGAGATGGCTTTTATAATTTAAAAAATAAGTGTCTTCATTAATGCACTCCCAGTAGTGAGAGTCAAAAACATTGCCAGATTTTAAGTGCCTGTAACAGTCTTTATGCATAATAAATGGACAGTCTTTTTAATGGGATGATAAGGAGAGCCCAGTAAAAGCTTTCGAGTTCATTGTTATAATAACCTAAAAGATATTATGCAAAGCATATGAAATATAATTGGAAGTAGTGAGCACTTCAGATGTTATCTACAATTGGTGCAAGTGTGTGTGACAAAATACAGACAAGGTCCCGCATTTTGTCTAATCAACTACCACCCACATGATCAGTGTAAGAAATGTGCACCATGCTTCTGACCATGGTAACTACTAGGTCAATCCCACTTCATTCAATGGGATGTAATTTAAATACAACCATCAGCTAGAGCCTGCAGATAGCAAGGACATCGAGCAGAGTTGTGCATTAGCTTTGCACAAGTCTGGTGATGAAAGCAACAAAAGAAACTTCCGTAAGATATAGATTTGTGACTAAAAATCAGCATGCCTGAAAGAAAGAAGACTGTATAAATGCTATCAGAGCTATATGCAATCTACTCTTATGCAGTTTAAGGTATTTCAAAGATGTCACTTCTCCAGTGGAACCTGAACGTCCAGAAACGAAGCAAGAAATAGTTCATAGAAGAGGTAACTTTAGGGGATTTGGAGCTAATGGGTTGGATCTAAGTTAATTAACATAATTTCCACTGAAATGGGACAATTAGTCATGACATATTAAGTCCCACTCATTTCAATCACAATTTAATTCAACTTAGTCTGGTTCCTGTTCACCATCACTGGTACCGACTGCACACATATAGGTACACTCAGCTCTGATCGGTTATAATTTAGGTTAATACACAGTACAATAAGTGACTCAGGTCAGCATGCATCTTGCTGTTGTCAGAGAAAGTCAGCATTTGGTGGTATTTTTACTTCAAACTAAGTATATTGGGAAAATCTCCAATAGACTCAGGTGAGTTCAGATTTCTAAAAATCCACCTTGCAGATTCTGCAGCAGACCAGCTTGTCCCTATTTTATTTTATTTTATATTTTCCATGTCACAAAATATGAAAAATCTTGACCAAATACACCTTTTGGGGGGACTGGCACATTTTCAAGTGCCACTTTGTGCATTTTCAGGAGTACAAATGTATGCAAATGTACACCCCCAGTTGCACAAAATTTGATTCCTTCAATAAGCAGGTAACAAAAGGCACGTAACTATCTGCAAAACATCGACGGAACTGATTTTAAATCTGTACATCCCTAGTTCATAGAATGGCACAATCCTGAGAATTGTATGGAAAACAGCTGTATGTGCACCTTCTCATGGTTTTCCCACAAACCATGACCTTCTCTTGGTTTTCCCACAAAGACTATCAAGCTGGTTTGAAACATAGAAACAGAGCGAGTCAGAAGGGGCCTCCCAGGCCATCTAGTCTGACCTCCGGCACCAGCCGGCTCTGCTCACGACATGCCCACCATGTGCATGTCCAGCCTATCCTTGAACACCCACACCGATGGGGCCTCAACGACCTCTCGTGGAAGCCCATTCCACACCCTCGGGGTCCTGACTGTCAAGAAGTGCTTCCTGGCATCCAAATTGGACCTTGGCTGCCTGAGCTTTGCTCCGTTGGAGTGCGTCCTGCCTTCCTCTGCAGGGGAGAACAGGTCTCTACCCATCATGTGACATCCCCTCACATACCTGTATGTCGCCAACATATCCCCTCTGAGTCTCCTCTTCTCCAGGCTGAAGAGACCCAGTTCCCTCAGTCTCGCCTCATATGGCATCCCCTGCAAACCGGCCACCAACCTTGTGGCCCTACGCTGCACTGACTCCAACCTGGCTATATCCTTTCTGTAATGAGGGGCCCAAAACTGAACACAATACTCCAATTGCGGGCACACCAGAGTCGTGTAGAGTGGTAATAATACCTCTCTTGATCTAGAAGCCACACTTCTGGCTATGCAACCAAGGGTGGCGTTTGCCCTCTTGACCACCGCATCACACTGCTGACTCATGTTTAGCCTGCAGTCAACCAGTACCCCGAGGTCCCTTTCACAAGTGCTGCTCTCCAGCCACTTGTCACCTAACCTGTACTTATGACACCTATTCCTATGCCCCAAGTGCAAGACCTTGCACTTATCCACATTGAACACCATCCTGTTGTCTCCTGCCCACTTCCATAGTCTGTCCAGATCCTTTTGGATCTGGAGTACCTGCTCCTCAGTTCTGGCCACTGCTCCAGTTTTAGTGTCGTCTGCGAATTTGATCAGCAGACTGTTCACCCCTTCTTCCATGTCATTAATGAAAAGATTAAACAGGATCGGCCCCAGGACAGAGCCCTGGGGGAACCCACTTGTCACTGGCTGCCATCCCGATGATTCTCCGCTAATGGTTACCTTCGGCTTTCGATCAGTCAACCATGCCCTAATCCACCGGACAGTGCTTTGGTGTATCCCAAAACTCCTCAGTTTCTCCACCAGGATATCATGGGCCACTTTGTCAAAGGCCTTGCTGAAATCCAGGTGTACCACATCCACTGCATCCCCTCCATCTAGCCATCTCAAAACCTTGTCATAGAATTCCACAAGGTTTGTCTGGCAGGACCTGTTTTTGCAGAAGCCGTGTTGTGTGGCTGTCAGCCTCCCTTCCCTATCTAGCATCACTAGATCTCTCTCTATTATGAGCCTTTCCATTGTTTTTCCTACAATGGACATAAGGCTAATTGGTCTATAATTCCCCATGTCCTTTCTACTACCCTTTTTGAAAATTGGGACCACTGATGCCACCCTCCAGTCCTCTGGAACTTCACCTGTTCTCCACGAGGTCTCAAAAATGGAGGTCAGCGGGCGTGAGAGAACCCCTGCCAACTCTCTAAGTACTCTCGGGTGTAACCCATCAGGGCCTGGCACCTTTGTAATGTCCAATGCCCTCAGGAGCCCCTCGACTTCAAGGGGGGGTGACTCTAATCTGTGCCCCTAAGTCCCCAGCCTCATCTAATCTCCTATGCAGATATCCCCCGTCCTGCTTTGGGGAGAACACAGAGGCAAAATAGTCTAAGCTAATACACTCTCAAGCCACACAAGTGGAGAAATTGCTGAAAGCTGGTGGTGTAACTGCAGATCTCTTGTATGACATGTGACCAAGGTGGCAATCAAAATCTCTGCAGGTGCTTCAGGTGTACATAGATTTTTGCCTAAAGGAATAATGCAATTGTATATGCATATAACATTTTCAGGAATTGGTAAACACCACTACACCCTGTTTGTGCTTTGAATCTTTCATACATGTATCCAATCTACAGGAGTCAGAGAAAAACATTTTGTTTATCATCTCCTGTCTTATTTATAAATTCAACAGCATCCTTACTTGAACACAGTATTTGATAACATTCAATATACATCAACTCACAAACAATCAACTTCTACCATGAAGACAATAAAAATACCTTGGAATAGATAAACCAAAGTCCACACCTACTTTAAAGCAACAGTGTACCTAGACAACTTGCTGTACTTCCCTTTTTATAAACATTAACTGTTCTTTTAAAAGGCTATGCTTTTTCATGTTCTATACCTCATAGCTCTGAGCTTTTGCACATAGACGGTCTCTTGAAATGAATCAAGATTGGTTATTAGATGATGTTTTACTCAGTGTCTACTTTATTACAATATGCTGAGGTCATTCTTACTCATCTATCCATCCTGAATTTCAAGTCCACTTAAAGGGGGGTGCAGGAGAGACAGAGACAGCAGTGCAGTTGTGGCAGCCCCAATTTAATAATGTGCATTTTGGCTAGAGGGCCAAGGAAAAGCAAGGCAACTTCCTCCGATCTCATATTGGGTACAGCTAATGACACTGGAAATTTCTGCTTCATGTGTGTCCCCATTTATGATATTAGTGTCCCT